GACTTGTTTGCTTCTCTCTCTCTCTCCCTCTCTCCCTCTCTCTCTCTCTCCCTCTCCCTCTCCCTCTCCCTCTCCCTCTATATATATATATATTCACCTATAAAGATGAGTGTGAACAAAAATGCAAAACGGATGTGATTTCATTATATCCTAGGAGACTACGCCAACCTTCTTTGTCTATCTCCATGTCTACCTTTCTTCCAATTTCTTTGCCTCGGAATTTTCCAACTTGTAAATATTCTATATTTTGAAATGCCAAAAATGAAGTACACAACCTTCCTCGAGTATCAAAGACAAAAAAAAAGGCCTACTTTTTAACACTGAGACGAACTTTCTCAACATTACTGCAGATGACGATATTCAGGGTGTAGGGGAGGAGGGAACAGAAACTTCCATGCCAAAATTCTTCAGCTGTCCATTTCTTTGTTCTCCCTTTTCCTTCTTCTTGTATTCTCCTTTATTTTTGTCTTTGTTGGACTTTACTTCTGTAGCGATTGTGCCTATCAATGTAAATAAAACGTATCTGCTTCTAAATTAAAGCTAATTGCTACAGCTGCTGCTGCTTCCATTTTATTTCTCTGCCTAGGTTTAACAATCTTCCCTTAGCATATCGTTTAGTATGACAATGGAATTCAAGAGATGGAAACCATACCACTTTACCATGACAGACAAAATACAGTTGATCTGCCATGCTACCCTGTTCCATAATCACTTCCCCTGGAAGGAAAAATTCTTCATGTACTTTGATTGCCTACAAAAAGAGAAGAATTGGTGAGGCGCCCTTCACTACTACAGACTTTGCATTGTCGCTACTACTGCATATCAGCTTCAGATGTAGGATAATAGCAAACAACAGGACATCCTTATTGACGTCAACATGAATCATAAGAATTGGAGTTGTCATTTGTTAAATAAGCACAAAATTCTTGAATACGGTAATATTTAAAGGAAGGAAGCAGCAGACAAGTGTCAAATCTTGAAACAAGCACACGATAGCTACAAATAGAAATCATATAAGGCTCTTAGGATAGCATAGCTTCCTTAAAGAAGTATAATGAGTTCTGAAATAGGCGCCGTTTTATTTTTAGTCACCTAGCTAAAGATTACTGTATCTTTGTTTAAATGTTAAAGGAAATAACTATTCTACGATCACGATGAAATGTACTTGATATAAGATATTTCTTTTGGTCAGTGATATAAGATGAATTCTTTTGTGGGAAGAAAACAGGAAACGACTTGATATAAGGAGAATGCATCAGTAATCCGGTGGAATAGTCGAGGTGTGNCTCTGCATTTATTCCTCAAAGATGCAAGAATAAGCGAACCAGTGACACACTTTTGTAAAGAAATAAAGAAAGCAAATATTATAAGCCAGTTTCCTTGTGGTTAAGTGAACGTACAATCTGTTTGATAAATTCATGCGAGCAACCTCTGAAAAGTGGGACTCCTCTGATGTAGGGCTCATACAGCTTTTGCGAAATCTGCAAGAGGAACCCGTTACTGTGGCATACAACACCAAACATTCATATTTATACTTATTACTGTTCCTTTCCCTGATCTTTCCTTTTTCTTTGGTCACAGGGAGCAAAGAACAGGAGATTGTAAAGACTAAAGAGATAAAATTCTTCTTGCAATACCTTAGCTCGAATTGAAGCAGGAATATCCTGAAGAACAGAAGACTCATTATACCGGCTCTCATACTGTAATCTGACATGATCTTTGATCTCTTTGCTTATGCGCTTTCCCAGCTTGTTTCTGTTCATATACTTTATAAGATCTGCCATTTTATCCCTGAACTTTTCAGTTTTGGATCCTTTTACAATTAATGCTGCCATATTACCAAGTAGGTAGGCACCAAGAATCATGTCAAAAGAGACATAAATCATTACAAATATCATTTCCTTGGTATTGACTGCATGAATTTCTCCATAACCTGCAGCATAAGAGAAGAATAAATGCATTATACCAGATACTGATTTTGNATAAATGCATTATGCCAGATACTGATTTTGAGAAAAGTAACCTTTCCAAATTCGTGCTGCTCTAAGAATAAAGTAGAATCACTTACCTAGACGGCAATAACACCACAACCAGATAACTTCCCAGAAATGTATGCTTTAGCTTTTGATGTAAAATGTTTAATGAAAGGAGACCTTTTTCAGTTCATCACAAATTCATAATACTTTTCTACTTATAATTATCTTTGATTACTTTCTAATGATTTCTTGTATTTTCAGCTCGGACAAGAGGACTTCCATTATATCTTCCAGTATACATCTCGCAGACATAATTTTTCTTGCAGAAGAGTAATTTGGCTTGCCTTTGCTGAGATGTTTCTAGCATTAGGACACGGTAGGAACAGTGTGATGTTAGAAATTCTAGAATCCACTCTTTCTACTCCAAAGTCTCTCAACTAATAGCACTACCACCACCTTGGAGCTGTATATAACAGAAACGCCGAGAGATCAGCTAAATATGTTAGGACATCATACAAAGGTGATGAGCCGAGTGCCAGAATATTCAAAGAGTTAAAATCCTTGTAGTATCACTCAAAATTGCAACTTTCATATATTTAATTTTGTAGGTTATGGAGGAGCTAATAATTCAAAGTTCTTAGCAATTGAAGTACAACTATTTCCTGTTGCATCTGAATTTTCAACATCTCCAACTAAATGTGAATTTGATTTTGAAGAGAATTATTGAAGCATGGCTTCATATGATATATAGCCTCTGTATCAAGTAACTAATACCCTTAGCTAACAGAAATTACTACAATCATTTAAACCAAAAATCACTAATCTCAACTGTAATTCCTAATAAACTGAAAGTCACTAAATTTTACTGCATTATTCCCATGCTACCTTTGCTAATTCTTATTTCTGCTTTTCCTAGTGGGAAACAATAAGCAAAGAAGTGATAAAAATTCAAAAGACACACTTGTGTTTAAGATGAATCTAAAAGATTTGTAAGAAGATCCGAAGTAAAGAAGGGAGTAAAACATGAATGTTGTTTTAGACATTTGTATAAATGAATAGATGGAACTAGAATGATAAAATCAATAAGCTAATATAGTTTGAACTTTGCAGTAAAAAGAAATAGCTTACCAACAGTTGCCATGGTGACAATGGCAAAGTACAAAGATGTGATATAGCGAGTCCAAAGATCAATGTCTCGGAAATGTGCATAACTATAGTCACCCATCTTCAGGCTTCCTATCCACGTGTAACCTTCTTCCCATGGAGGCAATGTAGTAGCCAGATAGTAAAAAATACAAGCAGCTGTGTGAGTGCAGTATACTTCGACAGCTAATAACTTCACAATCCTTGTAAACAGATAATTTAGACGGATGTCTTTCTCCAGCTTTTCAAAAAACTCTGTCACTCTAAGGGCTCGGCTTAGCCTAATCCATAAGAGGTATCTAACTGGCTCCTTTCTTCCACAAGCCTGATCACAGAAAACAGCTCAGTAGTTCATTTTATAGCCATTTATGTCAATTTCTTTGCTATTATCAGCATTGGAAACTGACCAAATAGATTGCATAACACTCTACAACTTATGCATACCAATAGCATAAATGTCAAGCTGCAAAGTCGTGCCCATCCACCATGGTTGGCAAAACCTTTTTTATTTTGTTTCATAAAAAAGCTTCAAAGTCATAATAATAAGCTAGATTCTAGTTGATAATCATCGTACAAAGGCTGGAAGTTGACTATCAGAGGCCAACGTTGAGAGGATTATAACACTTTGTCAAAAGGAGAACAAGAAGACTAACACACAAGTTCCTAAATGATTGGAGAGTTGCATACATTTAGTTGATACACAGTCCTCACACTCCAAACTACCACTTGCGACCAGTCCTGTAAGGAATGTTCTAGCCACCACAATTAAATTCTCAGTTTCCTAAATGGTAAATTATAATACAAAGGAAGAAAATTGTTTTAAACAGAAACTAGTCAGTCATCACTTCATTTGTCTTGGAAACAGAAAGAAACAAGGCTATAAGTTTATTCCATTTCAAAAAGGCAACAACAGTAATGGCTTGGCGTTTTCGAGGTGGAGTATCACAAATAAGGATATCTCTATTGAATTACGATAGTTAGGAAACACATAGCTATATATATATAACCTTGTCTTTTCACTAGAGCAGCACATTGGTATAAAATTGCAAAAACTTGAACAACACAGCCATAATACAAATCAATCTATCAAGTATGCCTCAATCCTGAAAAATATTCCGCTCTATTCAGGTCCTATTCTGAAATTCCTCATGGTTAAACAAACCTTGTATATAGCATCCCATGGGAAGCAACCTAGCAAGTCCACCAGGAAACGAGATTTCAAGTACCTATACATATTAGTGAAATCATAATCGGTGATTAAAAACAAATGATTGAAAAAAAGTTGCATGAGTAGTACTACTAGGAATTGCGTAAATTAAAAAAAGGGACAGACCGAAGGGCAATGAGTTTACGGTCGTAGACCATGCAGTAAGAATGAGCGTCTCGATACGCAACAAAAAAGAGAACGACGATGTCGATGAGGAAAGCAATTTGGCCGGCAATGTCCAGTAGGAACAGATTTTCGGGGAGTCCTCTGAAAAACCCAAACTCCATGGGAGTGAAGAAGGAGGAGTAAATCGCCCATATCAGAATGAATTGAGTCCACAACAGGTACCACCTGCATTCAGAATTTCTCTTTATAGTAGTCAGTAATTGTTATCTTGGCGCCACGGACAAGGTATTATTGATTTGAGGGTTCAGATTTAGAATTGGAAGTTGAGAAAGAAAAAGATTTTCTTTTTATAAATGTCAAAATACCAATTTGGCCATTGCTTAATATAAACAGTTGGCAAACGGACTTTTGATTTTCTTTTTTTTTTTTTTTTGAGTTTAAGTTTTCTGCGCTAGTTATTAAAAATTATTCACACAATTAGATAAAAGATAAAAATGATAATTGAACGATGTTGAGGGGCCCTTTGGTCACGGAATAAGGATACTAATCTCACGATAATATTAGAGATTGTATTTATTCCATGTTTAATTATGAATATAGTTAATACTGATATATATTTTATTATTAGTTATCACATTTAGAGGGCGAAAAAGCTAATCTTATGAGATAACTCAACCTATAGGATATCCTAGTGTATATTACAATTGAACAAACGGACCCATAAGAGTATAAAAAAATTTATAGTGTCACTGACTCGGTGAATATCACTTCTAGCTATTTGGCCAAGCTTCTTTTTAGCTTTCATAGTTAAGGTGTTTAGCCAAGCTTTTAGAAAGAAAAATGTGTTTTTGAGTAGAAACAGTAGTAATTTTTTAGAAGCAGCAAAAAATATCTAATCGCCAAAAGCACTTTTTAAAAAAGACACGTAGAGCCTGTTTGGCTAAAATAAAAAAATATTTCTGAGCAGCAGCAGAAGCAGTTTTTCTGCTTTTGCAGAGAAGCTACAAATTTTAACTTCTTACAAAAAGCAGAAGCAGAAACAAAAAATTAACTTATTCAAAACAAAAATAACCATACAATAAATTTATATTTTTCAAATTATCTCTCATTAATTTAATACTTTTTTTCCTTTTTCTTTTTATTTCTACTATACATTTCTTCTCCTTTTTGTTTTAATCATATATTTATTCTCTTTCTTTAATTCCTAAGCGTAGATTTTAAATTTTTATGGAACGATATATTTTGATATATTTAAATTATCATGTAAACAATAAGTAGTACCAAATACCCAATTTGGAATAACTATATTTTATATTATTAGAATTTTTACTTTATGTTTTATATTTTAATTAAATTCTTTTATAATAAATATTTAAATTAATTATTTTTCTTTTTTAAAATAATACTAATCGCAAATTGAACTTTTATTGTTTGATACTTAAAAGTATTTTTTTAAAAGATTGGTCAAACACAATGAGCTTGCAAAGAGTACTATTCAAACGAATTGGCCAAATACAAAATGTTATTTTGCAAAAATCCTTTTCAAAAAGTACTTTTGAACAAAAGTATTTTTTAAAATAAGCAGTTTTGGCAGCTTGGCCAAATGGACTCTTAGAAACACTCTTTAAAAGTTTGTCCAAACATCAATTGCCATTCAAAAATGATTTTTAAATTAATTAGTCAAACAAAACTGATTTTTATCAAAAGAACTTTTTTGAAAAGCGCTTTGAAGAAAATCAATTTTCAAAATAAACTGATTTTGACCAAACATGCTTTTAAATCCTTTTTCTTTTCTATATATAACCTTAAGGACACACAGTGACTGACCAATTATCGGGATGAATAACAAATCCATAGCAGTGATCTCTACGTCCCCTGCTCGTACTGTCTCTCCCTTGATCTCCATTTCTAACACTAACATTATTGGTGTCAAGACTAGAGTAGTTCCTCAAAAGCTTGAAGCGATTCTTCCAATTAGAGGCTAATTTCTTGGAGTTGGAACTTTCTTGAACATCTTCAACCTTAAATTCGTCATCTTCTGAATCTTCACCTCTTCTTTTTCCTCTATCCATCTTGTAGTTCTCTATCACTGCTTTATTTCCAAATAAAATTGGCTGATCCAAATTGAAATTTTTTTTGTTTAATGTATTGCAATCATGGGACTATCTTAATTCTGCCAAAAACAGAAGCAAGAGTTCTTGTCTTATAGAGTCCAAAGTTGCTGGAGCAGGATATATACTTTTGGACAGGATGAGGTGCTTCGGGAATAGAATTGAAACTTGAACTAGGAATATATCTCTTTATGTCAACTCGAGAATAAATATAAATAAAGAGATAATTTGGAGACTGCAGGAATAATAAACACAGAATTTATGCTTGCTACTTTATTGATTGATCTCCATTAATACAGTGTGAAGTTTTAGAATAGCAAACTTCACTCGTTTTTCTTTGCGTGGATACGAGTTTTCTTCAGCATATCACGCTTCTTTCGACATTAGCGAAGCACATTTTTGGCAAATTAATTAAGAAGGTTTCATTGTTCGATTGAATAGCTATTGATTTATATTGTAATTTTTTTTTAGTCTTCTGATACAATATCCAATTGTGACTTGGGAGACTTCAATAAGAAGGACATGTATATACTTATTTGGCGCTTATAATATAACAACGGCCACGTCCTAACGTACAGTTCGACGAATTTTTTGTTGTCCACGTAAGCAAAAGGTTTTAGATTCCCATTTTATTTATTTAACTTTTTATTTATTCGTTATGTCTTTGACAACAGCAAAATGTGCTTATACCCTTTTTCACGTTGATGGATTTCAGATTGCATCAAAGAACGTTGAGCGGTTGATAAAAATAAGAATATTGAAATGATTTTTCAATTTGTAATAGTTCTTTTATGAAAACATTATTCTTTTTTTTTTCTGAATTCTGATATATGTATTTGAGCACGATTATATAATCTGAATTCATGTAAGACCCGTTAAAGAGGAAAACGCTCTATATATATTAAGATTCTTTTTCATTCTTAATGCTTGAACTGAAGATTCTGATTTAAGGTAGAGAGATTCTATCCGTTACACTGTAACTCTTGATGATCAAACGATCCTACACTATTAGAAAACTGCCAAAAATCATCCAAGAAAACCGACCGACACTACTAAAAAGCAAAAAATTTACGACCGTCAAATCAGTCGGAAATCGTATTTTTCTGATGGATTTACGACTAAAAAGTGTTAGTCGGAAAACACGTGGTCGTAATATATTTGCGACGGAATCAGTCAAAAATTTGCAACGGATTCAGTCGCAAATTAAAAAATACGGGACATTTGAAATTTGGCCATTTGCGACCGAATCAGTCGCAAATTTAGCGACCGATTCAGTCGCTGACCTGAATTTAAAAAAATCAATATAAATTAAAGGTTGCGATTGATTCCGTCGGAAACTTAAAAAATAAAATTACTTTTTAATTAATTATTTCGACTGAATCTGTCGTAAATATTGATTATTAATTAATTAAAAATATCGATATTTCTCCATTTGCGACTGATTCAGTCGCAAATGTTAATTAAATTTTGTTAGAAACTTTTAATTTGCGACTGAATCAATTGCAAATCTGAGTAATTCCTGGTGAAATTTGCGACTGATTCAGTCGCAAATCTGGGCATTATTAAACAGAATTCTGTTGTATTTCTAATTACACTACCTTCCAAATAAAACAACCAACCAAACACCTAACAACCAAACAAAAACCTAATATAACAATCCAAATCCAATATTTACTACAAAACGAACAGTAATATTTATAACAATTCAACCAACTAATCAAACAACCAACTATCAAATAACATAAATTACACATTTCTCTAACTTCAACTCTAAAATATTCAAATAGCCTATTCAGAATCAGTCTCCTCCTCAGACTCAGACTCCATTGCAACTCATTTCTTGCTTATCTTTTTTAATAATTTTTGGATCAAAGCCTGAGTTGCTTGAAATTCTTGCGACATTTGATCCACTTTTTGACGCATAGCTTTCATGTCTTCTTGGGAAACTGATGCCCCAGTGAATAATGGTGCTGATGGACGACTGAAGGATGGCTGTACTCTAATCTCGTAGACTCGACCTTTATTTATTATTTTCACAAGAAATAAAAAAAAGAAAGTAAAAGAAGTAAGAAAATAAACACGCAACTTTCAAACTAATACCAAAATAGATAATTATATAATATTTATACCTTTATTCACGCCACCAGCCGCCTGTGTCGAAATTGCAGTCATATCCTTCGGGGCCGGCTGAGTTCCTTCAGGCTGAGTTTATCGCCATGCATCAAAATCAATAGGATACTTGTCCTGAAATAAACATAATACATTTCGTTTCATAATACAGAATCAGTGTCCTGAAATAAACATAATAAATAAAATAAACATAATATGATACTTCTTCATTTCGTTTCAGTAATAAATAATATAATTAATACATAGATAGGGCATGGAGAATTTCCAAACGAAAAGCCGAAACAGAGAAGTATTAGCACTTAAGTTGTTTCTTAACTAACATAACTTGAATGTATAAAAATTCTAATTCTTTAAAATCTTTTTCAACTCTAACTATTATAACCTAAATTATACGAAGTATTAGCACTTAAGTTGTTTCTTAACTAACATAACTTGAATGTATAAAAATTCTAATTCTTTAAAATCTTTTTCAACTCTAACTATTATAACCTAAATTATACGAAGTATTAGCACTTAAGTTGTTTCTTAACTAACATAACTTGAATGTATAAAAATTCTAATTCTTTAAAATCTTTTTCAACTCTAACTATTATAACCTAAATTATACGAAGTATTAGCACTTAAGTTGTTTCTTTAGTTATTTTTTATATAAACAAAAATTATTATATTGCAAAAACTTTTAACAAGTATTTTTAACAAGAATTTTAAACAAGAAGTTATATAAACAAGTATTAAACAAGAATTTATATAAATAATAAAAAAATAGCTAATAAATATTTAACATCACTATATACATATTATATTGCAAAAATTATTGCTAATTTATCTATACTATATTGCAAATTATATAGCTAATTTGTACATACTATTTTGTTAAATTAATGCAAAAAAACCTGAAAAATGAACCAACAGATCAGCTGCCGAACCACCACCGGAGGGGAGACGAGACGCCGGATTCCTGCACGAAAAATGAGTTAAACAACTTAGGAACAAAAATAACGGGNAAAAAACGGGTTAGGGTGTATTACAAAAAAAGATTTGTGACCGAATCGGCAGTTACAATCAATAACCATCCTATAATGGCAGCATTATATTGCTGCCATTCAACCACAATTAACCAACAACAACAGTTAACCAATAACAACCACAATAACAATGCTAATAACAATCACAACTACAACAACAACGCTAATAACAACCATAACAACAACGCCAACCACAAAAATAACAATAAAAATATTCAATAAAAAAATAATATCAACAATACAATCATCATTCAAAACTATTCCAACTAAATATTCACAAGTTCAAGACTTTGTTTAGCAATATACACCATTCAATGAGTGTTTTATATTGTATCATCTCCATCTTCACTACTAGAAGCTTCATCGTCGGCATGGTTCGAAGGATCACGACGAGAAGGATTAGCATCTGGGGAAGGCTCACGAGACCAGAGAATGGGAAAAACACCACTAGCAAGAAGATTGTCCAGCTGACCTTGAAGGAGATTAAATTGTTGGTCCCTCTTTTCTAGATGAACTTAGGGCTGGGCATATATCGGGTAAAACCGATAGCCCGAACCGAAAAAAGCTTATTGGGTTATCGGTATCGAGTTATTGGGTTAACGGTTTGGTAATAGTTTAGAATTTTTTTACTATTGGGTTATTGGTTCGGGCCTCGGTTTGTCAATTTTATTAATGGGTTAACCGATAACCCAATAAGAAATTATGACTTTATCCTTAAGTATATACATACATCTAGGGCTTCATTCTCTCATATTCCCTCTTAGTCGTACTCTTCAGTTCATTGTCTTAAAGTCTTTATCTTCATAGACCTTACTCCTAGCGTAAGTCTTATACAATAGGTTTCTATAACAAAATTCATCTTTATATAGGAATTTTTGACTGTTAAAAATTCTTTATTTTGTGCTCATATTTTATGATTTTTATTTTCGTTTCTTGATTTTGGATAACTGTTCTTGAAGTATTAGACTATTATTACTATTTTCTACAATGTTCGGAGTTTGAAACACTGTAGAATACTTTTGTTCTTCTTGCCAGTTTCATTATTGTATCTGTCCAGTAAATAATTTTGTATTAAAAAGGTACTAAACATGAGTAGGATAGGAGGAGGCAGTGTAGTGTCGCAACTTATTGCTGACATTCCATTGCAATATGTGGATGTAATGAATGGAATTCTGCTGCTACTAATTATTATTAGTATATCATTATTATATATTTTTGGCTAATTCAAGTTACTGTCGCTGAGCTTATCCTATGGTTGTGGTTGTTTGTTGTTCCACTGCTAATTAGCTACATTATGACATATTATATCTAAAGGACTAAAAAAATCTTCAGTTGCGAGCTTCTGAAGATGTTTTGATCTAGATTGAGTTATTTTATCGGGTAAACCGATAACCGAACCGATAACAGTTGATAACCGATTAACCGATAATAAATTTCTTATCGGTTCGCTTATCAGTTTTGCATACTTATAAACCGATAACCGATATGTCGAACCGATAATATTCACAACTGAACCGAACTGACCGATGACCACCCCTAGCTGAACTTGAAGGGTATCAAATTGTTTATCTCTCTTTTGTTCTCTAGCCTTTGTCTCTTCAAGCTGTACTGTCAGCTTTGCGATCTTTATTTCCATAGATGAGAGAGTCGACCTATCAATTGCCTCGCCCTGGGCGGAAGTCCCTATACCTTGCAATCCAGCTCTGTAGTGCCGAAATGATCTCTCTGGAAGGTAGTATGCTATCCCCTTTTTAGGACCACTGACAATATCCAACCATATCTTCTGTGCTTCTTCATCTGAAAGAGATGGTCGCTCGCCTTGCTCATTCGGTGGCAAGCTCTTAGTGTACTCCTCCACATTAATCTTGTAGCGACCCTTTATTTAGAAGATAGAAAGTTATTAACTATATAATATTATAAACATTAATTTCAAGTTATAGTAGTTATGAAACTTACATATGTAGTCTTCGCCCGGTCCTCGACCCATCTACTTAGATCTGTCAGTGCGTTCTTCTTCCGGATGTGAGTCTCCATGAAGAACTCATCATGAATCATCTTCCTCCCATATGTTTTTCCTACAAATATAATAAAACATGTTAACTAAATTAAAATATATAAATATAGTTTGATAAAAATAGAATTAAATATTTAAGGAATTAAATATTCTTAGATGCTCGAGCCTTCTTTCCCTGTTCACTCCTCTTCTCGAACTTCTCAGTGGTCTACTGCCTCAACAGATCCTCCCATATGTGCGGTAGAACCCATGAAGGCTTCTTGCTTTTCTTCCGAGCAGAACAAAAGGAATCAGATAGTTTCTTACGGCATTTGAACTCAAAATTTTCAAGAACGACACTGTTATGCTGGTCCTCCTAGGCACACTTAGTCTGTAAATGAAGTGCGTAACGTTAGATGAAAATATTGTTAATATAATACTTAAATAGATAAGAATTGTATTAAAACCTTAAATTAGTTAAAAATTTTCTCCACGAGCTCCGGTGGAAATTCACTCCAAGTCGCATAGGGTGCATCATACAATTGGCCAAGAGCTTTAGTGATTATCTTTGTAGTCCGATAATTAGGTATGAACTTGCAACATAGCAATTACATTAAATAAACAAGACTAGATATTATAATTCAACAAAAACAAAGAAGTAATAAATAAATCTTGCCCATTGCCCTCAGGCCTGATGATCATCCTATGATAATGATCATACCGCATTTCCTCTGGATCATCTTCCTCTGATGAATTTGAAGCGTGCACAGAAGGGGAGTCATCTGGCTCAGCGCTACTATCCCGAAGGCGAAATCTAGAAATGCTAGGAGATGAACTCCGTGGAGAGGGAGACGGGGTCGCTGATGAAGATGGCTGTGGTCCAGACCCCTGCTGCGATCTAGACCCCTGTTGCGATCCAGACCACTGCTGCGATCCGGCTGGCTAAAATCTAGATAGATGCGATCCAGCTGGCTAAAATCTAGATAGATACGATCCAGCTGGTGATGAAGCAAATGGAGCAGATGATGGGTGTATCACCACATGGCCCCGTGACTGCTGACTCAGTGGGCCCATGTAACTATATGCATGATCATGTGGAGGAAGCGGGGTATAGCTCTGTGGTGGAGAATGGTAAGAATATTGCTGGGAGGGCGAATGGTAGGTAGTCTGATGAGTAGATAGATGTGGTGGAAAAGATGTGTGCCTAGAAGATTGCTGCCGGCCATCAGCAACGGAGGGTTGCAAGTGTGGAGTGGAAGGAAGTGAGAGTGTAGCACCATCATCACGATCAATAGGCCTCTTATCCTTCTTAGACCTACCTCGACCCCTACCGGTCATCTGCATAAATTAAAGAAAATGTAAGAGTTGAGAATATAAATCTATATAAGTTAAGAGCGCTTGAAAAAACTAACATGCTAGTCATCTTCGAAGTATCCTTCCTCGTCCGAAAATTCTTCCTCTTCACTTATTTCATTTTCATTAGGTGATTCTTCGTCCTCATTTTCTATGATTGATATTTCCTCCATATCAACTTCTTCTAATGTGCGTTGAGGATTCTCCAAGTCATTTTCTAACTGATCATCCACCATTTGGTTAACACTTGAGGTATCGTTTTGGTTAGCAACATCTAGCACATTCTCAACTTCCACCTTACCAACAGGCTTAGTTTTGATAGCCTTATCCCTCCGCAATGAATATAGAGCATAATACCCTTGCTTCACTTTTTCTGCAATTATAAAAGGATCATAGCGATCATACTCCCTCTTTGTATTAACCTCAATTATGTTGTATTGCGAGTGTACATTTGTACCTCTTCTAGGTGTTGGGTCAAACCACTTGCATCGGAAAAGTACGATCTTCTTATTTGGCCAACCTGAATATGATAATTCTAGAATCTCTTTGATCACACCATAACAATTATTTTCCCCATCATGGTTGCCTTCACCACCTTTGATACACACCCCACTGTTATTGCTTTTTTTGTTTAATACTTGGAGTATTCCGCGGTGTGAAATTTGTAACCATTCACAAAATACTTAGACATAGTTGTAACAGTAGTGGCAGGTCCCCAAGATATATCTTTCAAAAATTGATTAACACCGTTGTTTGGATTATTGACCTATATGTAGTGTTAAATAAATCACAAGCGACCAAGTATGTATATTCACATGTGAGAAAGTATGTAAGATGCACTTACACACTCTTTAAACCATGCCTCAAATGTAGAATATACAGCATCATGGCCAAATTGACTCACGAAGTCACTGAGCGACACATTAAAAATTTTGTTAGTTGCATCAACCAAACTAAATAGTAGTCCATGTAAATTAATCTTACGTCAACACTTACTTAAGAAAGGGTTGATCTTCCGGACAATTTAGCAACACATGATTTGAAGCTGATTTGTACTCCATACTACTTAGGCCCCTTTTTGTTCGATCTTTAGAACCTCAGCCTAGTTGATTGAATATGGACATTGGTGGATATAATGGATCAATCTCAGTCACGACATTGTGCCGATTGGGCCTATTTCTAGCACATGGCACATGACTATCGAAGTAGTAAGAACAAAAATGGGCAGTTTCCTTTGCAAGATAGGCTTCGCATATGGATCCTTCAATCCTATTCCTTTGTTTAACAAATCATTTACAGTTGCCGATAGTCCTGCACATTGTCATATTAGACGATAACGTTAAAGAAAATTACAAGAATAAATCAAGGTTTGATCATTACCTCTCGAATGGATACATCCACCTGCATTGAACTGGCCCTCCAAGTCGCGCCTCGTGTACAAGGTGAATTGGAAGGTGTTCCATCACATCAAATAAACCACATGGAAAAATCCTTTCCAGCTTATTACTGATTGCAGGAATGTTCCGATTCATTTGAAATAGGTTTTCTTCCCTTAATGTGGTAGAACATAAGTCTTTGAAGACAAACTTA